AGACGCTTGCTCATAGTGATTCTCCCAGCTCCAGCAACTTCAAACGACTGGGCAATCTGGGGGCGGCGGGCCCGCGGGTATGCTGGTTTGAGATGAATTGAGTGGTTGATCATGGGTAGATCATGGCCTGGAAATCTCCGAAACGAAACAAGAAGATATATATCTAGGGCTCTCTGGCCTCAGTTTGTAGGATCATCAACGCAGTTCTTCACAGATCAGTTGTCCAGCACTCTTTCTCTCTTCCCTCTCTTACACTTCGGGCAGGCCTTTCTTTCCTCTACCCAAATTCACTCTCTCTAGATATCCTAGTGGTATATACATTCTTTTTGGCTGAGCCACTATCTTTACATTTCAACAACTTCAGCCTCAAACATCCACACGGACTTTCACGCTACTACATTCCATCAAGATGAAGTACTCCGTCCCCGTTGTCCTCGCTCTCTCGAGCAGCGCTGTCGCCTCTCCCCTCGGCGACTACCTCGACGCCATCTTCGGCACCAAGGACACCCGTCAGGCTCCTCCTCCTCCCGGCTTCCCTTCCATGGGCATGCCACCAATGGGCTCTCCCACTCCAGGTTTCCCCCCCATGGGTCCTCCCATGGGAACTGGTGCACCAACCCCAGGCTTTCCCCCAATGGGCCCTCCCTCCGGCCTCCCTCCCATGGGCGCACCAACCCCCGGATTCCCTCCCATGGGCCCCCCCATGGGCACCGGCGCCCCAACACCCCCCGGCTTCCCCATGCCCATGCCCACCGGCGGAGCCTTCCCGGGCGGTCCCGGCGGCTCCAGCAACATGCCCCCTTCCTGGCCCGTCCGCGCGCGCGCCGCCCGCAACCTAGCCATCGACTACCAGCTCGCCCCGCGCCAAGGCGGCGACCTGCCCCTCCCTTCCTTCTCGCTCGCAGACCCCGAGAACGGCGGCGGTGCACCTACTCCTACTGAGTCCCCCTCCGGCGGAGGCGAAGAAGGCCCAGGAGGTTTCCCTGGTCTACCTACTCCCACTCCTGGTGCCCCCGAGGGCCCCGGCGGCGGATTCCCAGCGCCCACAGGCGGATTCCCGGGCGCGCCTACTGGTGCGCCTGAGGGACCAGGTGGACCGGGTGGTTTCCCGACGGATCTTCCTTCTTTCCCTATGCCGACTGGTATGCCTGGTGGATCGGGTGGTTTCCCTGGTCTGCCTGGTACTGGCATGCCCGGTTTGCCTACTACCATGGAGACGATGACGCGTGGACCTAAGCCAACTGGTATGCCTGAGCTGCCTGGTCAGGAGGATGGTCAGCAGGGCCCTGGTGGTGACAACGGTTCTGGTGGCTGGTGGAGCTGGCTTGGTGGATTGTTTGGTGGTGGTAAGGGAGATGGAGAGGGTGCTGGAGCTGGTGAGGGTGAGGGTGCTGGAAGTGGAATTGGTGCTTAGATGCCCGATACCCCCTTGACATTTGGATGATCGGAGGAAGGAAAGGCGGGATGAAGACGTCTTGATGGCGCGATTGGTTTCTATTCTTGTCAAAATACTTTACACATTCACTTTACTACACACAAATCATACATGCCAATACGGCAGAATGACAAACAAACAAATTATCTCAGCACAAGCATTTCTTCCACACCATGTTCTCAAGTGTCTTCGATGAACTCAACCAAGTATCAAAGGTGAAGATAAGATGCAATTATCTATGTCAACAACCTATATACCACAATGTTAAAGAACGTAAATCATCAAAATTGACCGCCGCCGTTGAGGGCAGCAATCGGGTATCTCAGAAAGGCAGGCCATGCCTACATCACCATCCTCCTCCTCCTCCGCTAATTATGCTTCTTGAACTTTTTAGGGTTCCCGCACCATAATCTTAATTTTTTGCGTGATGGTCGTCGGGTTGAATTGACGCCTCCCAGATGCATATGCTTATGCTTTGTAATGCTTTCACTTTTTTGAAAGTAACCTATTATAACCAAATTTGCGCCCAGATATGAAGAGTCGGAGAATGTTTTGCGCTTGTTGAAGTGCAAGAGTCCTGTTGAAAAAGGGACTCTGTTGCGTATGTTGTTGAAGACCGAAGTGAAAGTGGAGATTGTCCGAGAGAAGCTCCTCAAGAGTTGGGTCTTGTTGTGTTGAATACAGTGAGACCGGGTGTCATATCGGATTATGCAAGCCTAGTTGGACATTGCAAGGCTCCTCATGCCATTGGTGACCTCGACAGCGGCTGCTTTGGCAGCGTCGATGAGGCTTGGGTTCTCTTCTTTGCGAGGTCCAACTTTCTCGCCGTTTGTGCCGTTCACGTTGCTTTCGCCGTTGACTGGCTTCGCTTCCTCTCCGTTTGTGCCAGGCACGTCAACGCTGTTGGGGTCGACCAGGGGCTTGTCCATGTCCTTGACTTCTAATCCGTCGAAGATGGGGAAGATGCCGCGAGTGGCGTGGAAGTCGTTATGTACTGTAGGATGTTAGTTGACTGAGCTTGATGGTTAAGCGAATATACTCACCGATGTTCAGGAGGTACCAGGTGTCTACAACATCCTGGATCACGTAACGTGAAGGACTGACACCAGCATGGCAGTTGGCCCACTGCTGTCCGAGACGGTAGAATTCGTCCTTCCAGGCGAGGAAGCTGACTGTTTCGACAATGGTTGGCTGCACAATCTCCTTGCCTGGGAAGACACCCCAAGTAACAGCATTTGGTCCTTCGTTGGGAGCGTTCGTCTTCAAGTCGCCATCCTTGTTGACCGCGTAGTATGTGAACTCAGGGTCGCGCTCGAGACGTGTGATGATCTCCGAAATGTGCTCTGGAGAAACAAACACCTCTAAGTATGCCTTCTGGTAGACGTAACCATTGCGAGGACCCCAACCAAAGACAGGGTCCGAGGATTTGGCTCCATTGACAGCAGGCTGGGAGTTGATGGTCAGGAAACCGCGACGGTTCAGGTCAATGAGATCATCCGTGATCGATCCCGCTTCAGTTGTGATGGGTTGTTCACTCCACGGCAGCGAGTCGAGCTTTCCCTCCATGTAGCGTACGAAGAGTTCGGACAGATCCCTAATCGACATTGGTGTGCCCCATAGCTTGATGTTCTGCTCATTGGTTCCCTTCAGACCGATGCCATATGAGTCCAATTCACCGAACGCAGGTGAGCGAGAATCTCCCCAGCGACCGTTGGGGAACTCGTCCCAGTCTTGTGTGCGTGCGATGTACGATCGGTTGCGGTTGCGCCAGAAGATGGGTCGCACGTTCTCGTCGCGTCGGTTGAGGGCCAGGGAAGGCCGCCACGGAAGGGGCTTCTCTAGCGGTGACTCGGGGTCTGGTAGGAGGTCTAGTTCTTCGAGGACCATGCGGGTGGCTTGTGCGAGGTTCATGGTGTAGCTATATGGAATTAGCCGGGGGATATTGCTGCCTCGGAGGGACAACTTACAAATGCAGATGTATGATACCAGCATCGATCAGCCGCCGGCACATGTCTGCGACCAGAGTCTTGCCAACTTCACGGACTTCGACGTCGTCGTTCTTGACAGGCTCCAACGCCTCAGTCCAGTTCTTGGGGATGTTGCACTTGGTCCATTGAGCTCGGCGTAAAAATGCCGCGTATGTGTGGATCGGCATAATACCAGGAATGATGGGAACGTCGATGCCCTTGGCACGAACCTTCCTGACCCACTCGAGGAATAGATCGGTATCGTAGAACATCTGTGTGACAATGAAGGTTCCTCCGGCATCCACCTTCTCCTTGAGATGGTCGATGAGCTCATCGACGTTGTCGTTGTCGTCGCTTCCTTCGGAGTAGCCGGCCACACCAATGTCGAAATGGTTTCCGTACTTCTCCTTGATGTATACGACGAGGTCCTTGGCATAGCGGAAGCCACCTGCCGTCGCCTCCCACTTTTCTCTCTCACGCGGCGGGTCTCCCCTCAGCGCGAGGATGTTGGTGCAGCCGGCGTTGTATGCATCGCGGAGGGCGTCGTCGAGCTTGGACTTTTCCATGTCGGTGCACGTGAGGTGCATGCAGGTTTCGAGGCCGTAGACGGATTGTGCGACCTTGACCATCTCGCAGGTCAGCTTGGAGTGGCGGCCACCGGCGCCCCAGGTGAGATCGATGAACTGTGGACCGAAGCCATGCATGCGGTCCATGCGGTCGTAGAGGTTTTGAACTCCCTAGGTGAAATCAGCTTCCTGCTCCTTGTGCCAGGGACATCAGGGTACGGCGTACCTGCGCTGTCTTGGGCGGGAAGAATTCGAAGGAGAAGGTTGGCTTTCCCTCCTCCCGCGCCTGGGCGAGTTTCTGAGAGATGTGCATGATGGACAGGTGTAGGACAACTAGAAAAAGAAGAGGGAGGAAAATGTAGAGTCTGCGTCAATTCTCCCGACGTTAGTGAAATGTATATGAGAGATATGCACCCCGCGGTGGAATTCGGGAAATGTGCAAGGATGCTGCGTACTGCGGTGTTGACGAGCTATCCAAAGTATCGTTTGCGGGCCCAGCGATCTGCGAGTGTCCGCGACATGTACCACTGCTGTCTTGCGGTCGGTCAGTAGGCGGGAGGTGAGTGATGCGTTGATATACAGTCCACGGGTTTTCCTTAGCGGAAGGTTGACGTTGAAGCGGTTAGCGCAGTACGGAGGCACAATCGGAGCCCTCCAGCCCTGCCAAGCGTGGCCCATCTTCGGCGGTCTGCCATGGCTGCTCTGGCACCACTGGACGATCCGGTGGCTATACGTAACATGTGCATGCGGTGGGCGCGCGTCGTCACAGGAGATGCAGAGAGCGCTTGGGCAGGCCGCAAGGCGCGCATATTATAATGTGGCATTGAATGTGGTAATGGATGTGGCATGGAGCCCCACAAACGTGTCCCGTCCCACACGAGCTCCCCTCCACCGCTGGTGGCCGAATTGTCCCTTCCCCGGGTTTACCCTATGCGGTAACCCCGGATCATCATCGTTGCGCAAGAGTGTGCTTGGGAAGCTGCCAGACGCTCTACAAGTAACATTCTTCATACACACATACAAACCGCAGCTATGCCGCCCATCACGCGCCCCCGCCGCATCGTCGGCGTCTCGCTGAAGATGTACTTCGACCTGCCCAGCACCCTGTCCTACGTCCGCGGCGTCTTGCAACTTGACGGCGACGCCTGGAACTCGCGCATCGATCTCTTCGTCATCCCCGACTTCGTCTCGCTCACCGAATCTGCCCGCATCCTCGAGTCCTCGTCTATCATGCTTGGCGCCCAAGATACCATGTGGGAGGACAAGGGCGCATACACCGGCGAGGTCAGCCCACTGGTGCTGCGCCAGGCAGGTGCGCGCATAGTAGAGATTGGACATGCGGAGCGGAGGGCCATATTCGGCGAGACAGACGAGACGGTCGCGAAGAAGGCTGGTGCAGCAGCGAGGAACGGCCTCATACCGCTGGTGTGCATTGGCGAGAAGACGCACCACAGCGTCGCATCGGCAGCTGTCGGTGCAGCTATACAGGAGTGCAAACCCCAGGTCATGTCAGTGCTGGCTGCCGTCCCGGACGACACTGAGGTAATCCTGGCCTACGAGCCTGTCTGGGCCATTGGCGCAAAGGAGCCCGCCGACCCCGACCACGTTGTCAATGTTACGAAAGAGCTTAGGAAGCTGGCTGCTGGCAGAGCGGGCACCACAAGAATTGTCTACGGAGGAAGCGCTGGCCCTGGCACCTTTGCGAAGATTGCCGAAGGCGTCGATGGCTTGTTCCTGGGTCGTTTCGCGCATGACATAAAGAACCTCAAGAAGGTTATCGAAGAAGTTGGCGGAGCTTGAGTTCGCTATGGATGACCATACGGCCGTTGAAGCTCTCATTCTTTTTCGCATTGATCATCCAGCGGGGGATCGGAGTCGGGGAAGGGGGAACAAGGCGAACAAACCAGCCGGGTGAGATTACTTATCTTCTCATCATCACCATCCATCTCGTCATGTGCGCAGGTATAAAGAGAATGACGTGCCGGCTTGGTACCTTCTCTCAAACTGATCCATCTCATCTTCGCTGAGAGCACGTGCAATGCACCTTCCTCTTCCACCAGCACTTGTGTTGACGTTGCATCATGTTGACTGGCGCGGAACACATGTCCCTTCGCAAAGACAGTGCCCAACTAATCACCGCTGTACGCAATCTGCTCGACTCGATCATCGGTACGTTTCGCGATCATGGCGAACGAGTTTATGACTGTCGTTCGGCACTAGGCAGGAGCGACGCGCACCTGTCCATGCTGAGCAAGTACGGGGTCCCCAGGAGCAGAAGGTGCGAACGACGACGAGGGGACTTTGAGCCATCGAACATCCGAATGTACCGACGATCTGTATCTCCTTGTACCTTCTCACCAGCTTTCGGCACTCCAACATGGAAAGCACCGAAGACCGAAACCCTCCGAAGGCTACCCACATGAACTTTCAACGCCGCATGATCCACACTCCGCATACGACTCTTCCAAGGTTGGTCGCAATCTCGTGTCACGTTCTTCGGATGCCGATTTCGGATGCCGGTAGCCCATACGCAGTGGAAGCATGTCCCGCAGAGCAGATGCATGCTTTCACGATGGATAAGGCGATGCAGATTCTATGGACACCTTTGTGCTGGACCGGAAGCGTCGTTCCCTATGATCGCGAAAAGCCCGAATCCCTTCGGATCAGAGGGGTTACGGCATACGCCGCTAGGATCCTGGGTCGCGGTCTTACTGGGATGCTGATGGCTCGGATCCACGGAAGATGCGGTCTGCCTTTTGGACACCTGGCAAACTTGCCTATTACCGACTAAGAGGTTGCGAGCGCGTTAATCGGAACGAATTTTGGGAATCGTCGTGCGACCTGCGGTGTGCGGTCAACCAGGTTTTCATTTCGAGTGCGACTGGAGCCTGCGTGAAACGATGCAACTCCCCGGAACACTTTATGCGATATGCCAGCCTCGATTCACTCCAACCACGAGCCCAGTGTTTGTGCATCTACCTATTCCCGGGGCTTGGTTTCAAAAACCACCAGTCTTCCCCCATCGTAGGCTGGATTGGGTTAGGCGGGCTTACTCGCGGAATCAATCCGCCGCCTACCCGTTTCGTGGCCGGATGAGCGCAAGCTACTCGCCAAATGCCCTACGCTCGATACCAGTCACCAGATTCTGAAGCCACCATGCACACCTCGGTAGTGGAACGCGGGGGCTGGCTCTGGGCCCTCCCTTGCAGTTTGACACCAACTGCGGAACTGATTTATCGATCATAAGATGCACATGCAACCACAACAGCTTCGCCGCACGAGGCCGGACTGCATATGTTCTGGACTGAGTCGAAGCAGTTGGTCGTTCTCGTCACACAGATCTGCAACTGCCTCAATTGCAACGTTGCACACGATCGCACTTTGGAGCCACACCATCAGTAATCGACATCGCCTACACGACTCGTTTGCGAGACGTCAAAAGGAACTCTCATGCGCGGCTTCAGAGATGCCGTGGGCGACATGACGTTTGGGAATAACGCCTGCACCACTCATCCGGATCTAGCGTTCCTAGTACGCTTTCCCCGCAAAGTCAACCCCAATAAGTGACGGCCCGACGATCATTTAGCTCCAAAGTCTAGGCTCCGCACACATCCCCAGCTTTCGCGTGCTTCATCTCCACTCGACTCCGCAGCACCGATCTTATTTCCTGCAGCTGCAGATCCCTTACTGGTTGTCACTGAGTCGGATCACGATCACGTTATAACGTTCAATGCGTGCCATTTGCATTGCGACCGTTTTAGGCACTAGGGTCGCCGAGGTCTTGCCAATACGGCGAGGCTAAGAGTGTGATCAATTGTGTTTCATGAAGAAGCATGCTTATCGTAGAGTCCTCGATGGGAATCTACATCTCCAATCGCCCATTCAGACGCTCGTTATCATGCACTCTTGAATAAGCCCCGACGGTGTTATAGGCAGAACGTCTGGGGTGTGCAATGTGACTGCGCGGAACGCCACTGTTGTTTCTGGGGATGCGTCGCCAGGGAAGCCACGTCCGCAGCTAAGGATGAACTCCTCATGACTCCGGCGAATCAAGACCTGGCCGTCCTTCGAGCTCTAGTCTGGGCAGATCTGCCCTCCCGCCAATTCGACTACTTGCATCAGGTCCAACGCGGAGCCGCAGCGGTTGGTCCTCAAAGTCTTGTTCTACCGGGGTGGCCTGGCTGCACCTGCCACCTACTTGGTGATGATCCCTTGCTTTCGTCCGCGGCTACGCTTTCTTGGAATTGGAATCCGTGCCTCAAGGTTTGCGGAGCACCATCGTTACGCTACCTACACTCTTAATGAAGATTGTCTGCCCACCTATATCAATCCTATCCTCCATCTTCTAGCCTCCTATGTCACGTTACGAGAACTCTACAGCAACTACCACTTCCTCCACTGGCCATCATCACGAAACATCCTCCTCTAATACTAACTCTAACGGAAGCGGTCTATTCGATAACCACATCGCCTGTATGACTTCCAACCACGACCACAAGTACGCAACAAACGACGCCCATCTCGGTGCGACTACCGCTCGGGACGCGGAGACTCTATCAGCTGGATCAACTGCGAGGAACGAGTCGACTACAAGAATGATGGACAACCCCAACGCTTTGGAGAAGGACTTTTCTCGGCAAGATGGTAGGATACTTTTGCGACGCGTACTTCTAAATTCGGCTGACGCTCTCTAGCTTACGGCAATGGATATGGAGGACACGCACACCTCGATGCTTCCGCCGACTCGGGTACTGCGCTGCATCAAATCCGAACAGCAGGTAGCATCTCCATCTCGCCAGAGCTTTTCGAGAAGCTGTACTTGTCACCTCCGAATAAAGTAAAGGGAGATCTGCGCAAGACCTTCGGTAACCCAACACCTCTGTAAGTTCTCATTATACATTTTGGGTTCGTGGTTGCTGACATTGCACAGCGCTTTGATCGGTTTCTTGTTGTCGCTGCATCCATTGAGCATGACCCTTATGGGATGGCGAGGCGCTGGTGGGAGTGGATCTGCAAGCATCGGGTGGTATTACTTCTGCGGTGGTCTGCTCATGATCCTCGGTGGCCTCGGTGAAGTATGTTTGTCCTGAACCTTGCAACAGCAACACTAACAGCTGCCACAGTGGATTCTCGGCAACACCTTCCCCTTCGTTGTCTTCTGCTCTTTCGGTGCCTTCTGGCTCGGTTTCGCCGCAACCCTCCAACCTTTCTACAACTCATACGCCGCATACGCAGATCCAAGTGTCGAAGGCAGCACAGGTCTCGAGTCTGTAGGCTTCAATGTCGGTCTTGGTACGTTGCCTACAATATGTTTCGGAATTGCACCTCTAACGGTTGATACAGCATACTTCCTCGTCATGATGGGCATTCTATGCCTCGTCTACCTCGTCTGCTCCATCCGCACGAACCTCATCTTCTTCCTCATCTTCTTCACACTTGTACCCGCCTTTGGTCTCCTTGCCGGAAGCTACTTCCAGCTTGCCAATGGCCAAGCTGCTCTTGCTGTCAAGCTCGCTGAAGCTGCTGGAGCTTTCACCTTCGTCACGTGTATGTGCGGATGGTACATCTTCTTCGCCATTATGCTGGCTAGTGTCGACTTCCCATTCGATCTACCTCGTAAGCTGACCATGTCGTTGTCAAGTTCAGTTCGCATGCTAACACGAAACAGTTGTCGATCTATCCAGCGTGGTAAAGGGCGCCAGCGAGAAGCGCAAGATCGACCACATGGAATAGACAAGATGTCGACAGTGTATGGTCGGAATGCAGAGCATTGGATATGGGAGTGGCAGACAAGTGGAGATATCAAGAGTGGGTCAGATACCAGACGAAAGGCACACTACGCGCGTCAGACAGTCGAGGCGGTGATATTGTCAGTGGCCGATCAGAGCGTGAAGCTATGCTTTTCCTTCCATCATGTGCCAATGCTACGGTTAATATTTTTAAGTTACGCACGAAATAGTAATTATGCAAATCATGAATTCATATCTCTCCACACGTACTAACTCGTCCTCAAGTCCAGTGCATCGTTCCGATCCAGGAAATGGTCGCGTGTCCATCGCATGACGAATCCCACCAGCTGGTGGCGGGCTCGCCCGAGGCATTTCGATCCTGCAAATCTCACGACGACTAAACGACCATTTCAGCCTTAGAATTAGGGAACTCGAGACACAATTTCCGCGAAAGCATAACATCGCAGCCTCGTTCTGGTCGACACGCCGTGTCGCATGAAGCCCCATGTCACAGAGTTGACAGGTCTGACACGTCCGACCCCGACTTACGGGTCCGCCAACCAACTCCTTCAAGCGAACAGATGGTACGTGCATATATACATATAACCAAATCGACGAACAACATATAGGTCTTTTGCTAACTAAATATCTGATATCCAACGACCTGCCCAAACTCGCATCCAACTTCCCCTCCTCCCACGCTCCCGCACCACACGTCACCACCATGATTTACCCGGTGGAAGCAGCCCCCATGCATGCCACACGGCACACCACATCCACATCCACCAGCACATCAGCCCGTCCGCGGAGGCGAAGTACATCATCAAGTCGCTCGTCCGCATCCCAAAACTTTTCGCGTCCACATTTGCAACCCATACCGCGGAAATCTGCTCCAGCAACGCTTCCCCTACGAGCCCTCACAGACTCCTCCGCTCCAATCGCCCAAACCATCATTATAAAACCAAAATCACATCATATCCCTTCTACAACATCGAGATCAAGATCGAGAAAACCTCCACACAAAATGGCAACCTACTTCCTCACAGGCGCGAACCGCGGTATTGGATTGGA